ATGGCAAGGAAGTCAGACTTGTCAGAAAGAGAGGTTTGGGTGCGATTGCTGCCCATGGAGCATGCCTTAAGATGTTGATGACTGCAGTCCTAGATGGGATGCTATGGGATATTTTGTGTCCACCTGAATTTTTCTTTTCATTCTTGGGTTGTGGGTGTCACTGGGTAGGGCACCATTTATTTCCCGTCCCTAGTAGTCCAGAGTGCAGTTAAGAGTCAACCATATTACCTTGGATCTGGAGTTATATGTGTGTTAGACAAGGTAAGGATGGCAGATTTCCTTTCCTGAAAGACACTGGTGAAAGAGTAGAATTTTTACCATACTGGTTACATGCTCACCATTCGGCTAGCTGTTTATTCTCACGTTTTATTGAATGCGAAATTCACCACTGGTCATTTGAGATTCAAACTCATGTCCCCAAAACAGTAGCCAGGATACTGGATTAATAATCCAGTGACATTTCCACTTTGCTACCATCTCCCCAAAGCCTGAAAGACTGTGATTTAGCATTTCTTCTGAAATATGGCATCTACAGCGTGCAACACTCCCTTGGGCACCACTGAAATGTCATTCTGGACTATATGCTTAAGAAAATTTGTGCAGCTCAAAAACTTGACTGCACTAAAGTTGAGACAACTTTGCCTGCAAGGGTAGTCCAAATACAGTTCGCCAGAACACGAGCTGAAAATGTATCATGATCTTAAAAAAATACTGGGCATTAGTGGAAGATTTATTGATGCACGTCCATAGAATGGTTATGCCAAAGTCAATGTGAAGAGAAACAATACAGACACTCTCACAAGATTTGTAGATTAGGGGGATGGGTCTGGGTGGGATGCTCTGACGTTTAGTGTGGACTTGTTGGGCCGAAGGGCCTGTTTCTACTCTGTAGGGATTCTATGATCTATGAGAAAGGACAAAAAGCTTGTATCCTCTTCCCTCCCTCCTATAGTGCAATTGCAACATTTATCAGAATTAGAAAAATAATTCTCTATCAAAACATTGCTTGGCAACAGAGATATCCAGATGGGAGTATTCTTTACATTTCCATATGAGTAGGGAGTAAAATACAGCAGTTACTTGTCGGTATCAGTGTCCTGTATCCACAAACCTTGCACGTAAATTTTTAAAAATGCTACAATTTAATTGACATTAGAGAGTTTAAAACTTTCATACAATTTTGTAATCTTTTGGAAACAAAGACATTTGGATGAACAAACAAGAACACTGTCTATCTGGTGGACTCCACAGTTTGAAAAATGCTATACATAACCCCGACATTAATATGTTACAATTTCAAGGACAATGCAGTTTGGCAGCGACTTAGTGGTGGATGGTCTACACATACTGCCAATGAACTAGAATCTCTGGTTTAGTATTCCATAAATGCAACAAGTTTTTTCAACGTACAGAGGAAGTCTTGGCAAAATTTTAGCAAGTTTTGCTTGTGAATTTTATTTTGCTAAACTTTATTTACAGTAGACATTGTATTAAGTTTTTTTGACTTGTTTTCCAATAATTTCAAGGGTCTGTTTCCGTGCGATACATCTCTATGACTCTATGTATTATGCAACCTGCTCTCATTTGTGTTGGATAGTCTGGAAGAGAAATAGTAACTAACCGAACGATTCCCTAAGGTAGAGATCTTTGTGTTAGTATCTAACCTTGACTTCCAATTTCATTAGTAGCTGGGATTTTCCACTTTATTAACAGCCATTATTTGAATGCAATAAAGTATTTCCAGCATATAAAGTATGGGAAATATTTATTTTTGAATTAGCAGAAGGATACATGATTTAGAAAACTTGACCTTTTTAGATGCCAATGCTGTATGTCTTTTAGGGATCCAAAAATAAGGATTTCTGATCTTTGTCAATTGTGCTTAGTAATGAAATTTAAACAGTATGATCTGGTGTGAGTTACTTTCCTTCAGGACTTTTGAGTTTACCTGCCCTATCGTAGCCTCTACTGACTATCTCGCTATAAATGCTGAACATAAATTGGGAGCTTACCATGTGGAAAACAACTTGGTACTTAATTCAACTCCAAGTTGGTACCAGTCATCATTGACTCGAATTATTGCTTCTGAACTGGACATACCATCAAATTAGAGTTTAATTTAATTCTGTTCAGCAAATAATATCGGTACAGAAAAGAATGATTTTCAGCAACTTTGCTGAATATCTAACAAAATATAGGTTTGTTATTACACAAGAATAAATTAGGTTATACAAGCTCAGCAAGACATATAGGCATTGCACCAACTATGTAGCATCATTGTACTAATGTGTACAACTTCATACATGGGACTGTTTGATGGACTCTATTCTGTATTTCAATAGTAATGTTTCAGATAAACTGATGTCCAAGACACTTATAGGTTAAATATTATGCAAAATAACCTTTTAGGCAGTGAAGCTAATAAAAGATGAAACATGTAAAACTTATTCTGGAAAGAAAATAAAAATCTGAGATAAAAGAAGATTTCTTTTCTTCCAGTGTTTGACTCCAGTGTTTGGCAAATAGGTAAACACGACACAAAGAGATATTTTCCTGAATTTGCACATTGACAAAAGAGCCTGACACTATCACAGTGTCACAGAGTCACGGAATTGTACAGCATGGAAACAAAACCTTCGGTCCTATTCGTGCATGCTGACCAGACATCCTAAATTAATGTAGTGTCATTTCCCGCATTTGGCCAGTTTACTCTAAACCCTTCCTATTCATTTTTTCATCCAGATGCCTTTTAAATGTTGTAATCGTACCAGCCTACACCACTTCCTCTGGCATACACTCCATACACTCACTACTCTCTGCTTGAAAATGTTGCTCCTTAGGTCCCTTTTATAGCTTTCCCCTCTCACCTTTAACCTATGCCTTCTAGCTTTTCCCCTATCCTGGGAAAAAGCGCCTTGCCTATTCACCCTATTCATGCCCCTCATGATTTTATAAACCTGTACAAGGTCACCCCTTAACCTCTGATGCTTCAGGGAATATAGCCCCAGCCTATTCAACCACTCCCTATAGCTCAAACTCCCCAACCCCAGCAACATCCTTGGAAATCTTTTCTGCACCCTTTCAAGTTAAACAACATCTTTCCCACAGCAGGGAGACCAGAATTGTAAGCTGATGCAGAATTGGTACCCTGTATCGGAAAACAAAAAGCTTGTGGTACCTTACAAAAGTTTGTATTTGTACAGGTACATACAAAATCTCAAGTAGAACTCCAGGAATAACATTGATATCTTAAACCATTCCTAAATGCTTTAAAGAAAAACTACAGCCAGTGGCCTCACAGACCCATGGCTATTTGGACTTTACCGCCTTTCCCTCTGTCAGAACAACCTCACGGTTGTACTACCAAACACCTCAAGTTGATTCATATCCTTAATTTATGACACAAAGTTGCATGTGAGCACGTATGATGCTGTAACCTGGATCAACATGTTCCTAGGACTGCAACTTCAATTTAATTAAAGGAATTATTTCACCAAATCAAGGAAATAATTAATACCAAGAAAGATTGTGAGAAAAAAGAGATGCAGACTGGACATATAAAAGACAAATTACTTTAAGTTTCTATAAGTGTGAGGTAATGCATTGAGGCTGGAGGAATACGAAAGCCACACCCTCCTTGAAAAGTAAGAGTTTAAATAGGGTAAAGGAGCAAAGGTATCTTCACAAGTTACTGATAATAGGAATGCACGTTAACTAGATCATAAAAATGCTAACAAAATACTGATTCATTTCTAGATAAAAAGCAAGGAAGCTATTTTAAATGTGCAGTGAAATTTGTTATGGCATGCTTAGAGTCCTATGTGCAGTTCAGGTGTTCATATTACAAAATGGTAGAGTAGCATTTGTGAGGGTTTATAAAGGTGATACTAGAGTGGAGAGGTTACAACTATTGGGAAAGACTAAATAGGTTGAGGCACTTTTCCAGAAAATAGAAGGTTTGGGAATGATCTAAACAAAGTCTTTAAAATTATGAGATGTTAGATAAGACCGACATAGAGAAAACATTTCCACCTGTGAGGAAGTTCAAACATTAGGGACAAAAATATGAGATAGTCACTAACAAATTCAATGAAGAATTTGTGAGACTTCTTTATCTAAGGAGGATGGAAAGAATAGAATGATACACAAGTAGAGTTAGATAAAGTAGAGTAGGAGGAGGTTCAACTAGATGATGAACCCTGGCACAGATTGGTTGGGCAGAACTGCCTGTTTCTTTGCTTTAGATGCTGTGCAATTTAGAACTGAAAGGTGATATCCTTTCAGTAGCTAATTCTAATAGGGCTTAAGGGTGGATATTGTCAACAGTGCAAGTTCCAATAAATGCTGAAAAGATTTTAAAGAATCAGAAAAGCTTACAACAAATACTTTAAAAACTGTAAACTCTGTAAGATAAATACAATACAGCTCAGAAAAAGAGACAAATAACAATATTGAACGATCACACTAAACAATGATGGGGCTAACATTAAAAGTATGAAACAAAGCAAACTTCCAAAACAATCTTGAATGAATAAATATCAGTGTTTATAGCACAAATTGACAGCTTTTGTTCCACTGAGCCTGTGCAGCTTTCAGCGAGAGTAGTTCAGTTAGTGCCACGTATCTTCCTTCCCGTCTAAGCCCTGCATTTATTTTCCCTTCATGTGCTTATCTCAGTCCCTTTGAAAGCGTCCACTGAAGCTGCTCCCACCATCCTTTCAGAAAGTGCATTCCAGATGCTAACCACTCGCCATTGTAAAAGAAAACCTCACTTTACTTTTTAATTGTGCCAGTCTCCTTGAATCTGTGTCCTGTTCTGACAGCGGGAGCAGTCTCTATCTGTTAGATCCCTAACATTTTGAGTATTATTTTCAAGGGGGTTCATACATTTACAGGCTTTGTATTAAGTTGGCGCGGGTTTGTAAAGCCGATGCACGCCAGCAAAGTTTGGGCATTTCAGAGCCAGCAGTGGAGTCAGCAATGCTTTCACTCATGAAGGCACATAAATAACACTGTGCCGAGGCATCCAGTTCGAACCAGTCTTTTGTACCGCCAGAGCACAGCAAAGCCTGATAACACCCTGGGAAAGTGCCAATCTTCTCATCTGTAAGGAACCCGAATGCACAAAACGAACAGCTATTGCTGGGGAAGGAAATCCACTGGCTAGGCATTGGTAGCGGTGGATTTACAAAACGCTGTACAAGTGGTAGGTACCGTCAGCATAAGTAATTTTTTTTCAGCAATTAGTATAAACACTTGTAAGGACTTCCCTTAACCTTTCCTTGCACATCTTTGTTGTGGAATCACTGTGATGGAATATGATTCCCCGGGGTGGATATGGAAGGCTTGGTACCGGATCCAGTGAGGGGACTCGGGTGTATATGCGGTTCGCCTCCCGGAGCCGAGCTCTCTCACGGGCAATCAATGCGGCTGCAGCTTCGGCCCGCAGTGTCCTCCAGGGGGCTCGGAGAGAGGAACACCCCGCCGCCTCCCGCTGCCGCCGAGTGCCTGGGAGAAATCTTCAAACTGGAGCTGGAGATTTCACTGAAACTGCATGACATTTACTCTCACGGAGTGAGAAGAGACAAATGTGAGACCCAATATTGAACCACTGAGGAGTATCCAGGCAGTTAACTGGTTGTATGGGGGCAGAAACGCGTTTGCATTGGAATGACTGGTCAGTGTGCTCGGATCACTGAACATAGGCCTGTCCTATTCCTGCTTCCCCATTCCGTGCACTTCACTCAGTAGGTCAGTTGAATGCTGCAAGCCAACTGCTCAAAAGCTTTCGTTTTGGACCTCTCTTCCCTTTGTACTTTCAGTATGTCTGAGTGCAGATTGGATCTCGATTCGTTTTTCTCCAAAAATATACTTTATTCATAAACTTTGTAAAATATACACTACAAAATGTTTCAATATGAATTTTACAGACTTTGCAATAAAGTCGTTTAAACACAGGATGTTCCACTCTTAAAATGCTTCGGTTAACCGTAATAATTATACACCCCGAAGCACTGAGTGAGGATCAAAACGGGAGCTGTCCAAATGTGGGGTTAATGAAGGACACTGGGGGCACTTGGAAGATGTTGGCATCACTGGATCGCCCAGCATTTACTGACCATAAACTGTTTTCTTGAACTGCTGCACTTTTTGAAGTATAGGCACACCCACAACACTGTTGGGAAGGGATAGCCAGGATTTTGACCCAGCCACAGTGAAGGAATAGCGATCTAGTTCCAAGTCAGGATGGTGAGTGTGGTTTCCAGGTTATGCATTTGCTGGCTTTGTCCTTCTGAATTGTCGAGTTTGTAGATTTGGAGGATGCTTGGTGTGTTGCTGCAGTGCATCTTGTAGGAAGCACACACTGTTGCCACTGTTTGTGGATGTGGTGCCAATCAAGTAGGCTTCTTTATCTTAGATTGTGTGGAGTTTCTTGATTGTTGGACTGCACTTAGCCAGGTATTACCCCACACAAGCAAAAACAGAAATTGCTGGTAAAACTTAACATGTCTTGCAGCATCTGTGGAGAGGAAGCAGAGTTAATTTTCGGTTCAGTGACCCTTCTTCAGAACTGATGGTATTATCACAATCCTGACTTATGTCTTGTAGATGGTGAACAGGTATTGTGGAGATAGGTGAGTTCTGTTTAAAGCTCAAGATCTTGCTGCATTTGGACACAAACTGCTTGATTTTTTTGAGGAATTGTGAATTGTGCTGAACATTGTGCAGTCATGAACAAGCGTCCCCACTTCCGATGTCATGATGCCAGTCTGCAACACTTGTTCGAGGACAACTCTTTGCACTGGAAGATCAACAAGTTTTGGGCAGACCAAAGAGAGCTTCTTTCATCGAGTTGATGATCCTCCAGATGCAGTCAATGTTTGTCAAGGGAACAGACCATAGAGCACAGCGTCATGGAGCTGCTCAGGATGAACCTTGACAAAAACCACTGTATCTCTCTCCAGACCTTCTTCACAAAGGCATATTCCAGAAGGAGATGTGTGACAGTCCACCGATACCACTCCCGGCCCATGCCCATTGCCTCTCTGAGGGTAGCGAGCAGTGGTGCAGAAAGTGTGGGCATAATGAAGGATCTCTCAGGTAGTTCCCTTCCCACCACCAGCCAAACGACGTCTTGGTGCATGTTGGAAAGTTCTGGTGATGAGGCATTCTGCCAAATGACTTTGGCAGTCTGCTCAGGAAACAGCCTGACAGGATCCACTGTCTCCTTTTCCCACAGGGCCTCAAGGACGCTACGTGCTGACCACTGCCTGATGGACTTGTGGTCAAAAGTGTTTCTCTTTGCAAATTTCTCCATGAAGGACATCCAACCACTTGGAGCATTCTGTGGCACTGAGGCCAGTCTCAGACTTCGCCACGCAAGGAACGGGTAGAACCTCAGTACATAGTGACATAGTGTTTGTGTACTGAGGATCTATGCACAGCTTGATGCAGCTGCACACAAAAGTGGCCTACAAGATGAGGGAGGCATTAGGCATCAGAGCTTTGTACATGGTGTCCCTGCAGACATGGTCCATCTTCGTCCTCCAGGTGAAGTGGAAGAAAGCTCAGGCGACTGCTTTGGCGCAGGATTTGGGAATGGATTAGATCTGCACCACACCCAACAACACCCAGGGAAACTCACATCTGATGATCAGGCTATTACCCGCAATGGAGAGGGAGCGGTGCTCCCAAAAGCCCAGTTTCTCCCTCACCTTGGCAATACATTGCTCTCAAGTTTTTGTGCTCATCCTGGCACCTCCAAACCATATTCCCAACATCGTTAGGTAATTTGTTCTGACGGTGAAAGGGAAAAAGGATCAGTTGGCCCAGTTCCCAAAGAATATGATCTCGCTGTTGCCTGAATTTACCTTGGCTATTTCAGACTGGTCAGAAGTCTGCGCATTGACAGTGGATCTGAGCCGAAAACGGTGACATCACCCCACGTGCAGGGAGGCTTTGGCCTGCAGGCCTTGGCTGCCTGGAACAGGCTCTCATCCTTCTTGATGGACTTGGCAAAAGGCTGTAAATAACACGCAGACAAGTTAGGAAAGAGTGGGCAGCCGTGCTTGACTCCAGATCTGATCGGGAAGCTTTCTGATTCTCACCCGTTGATTGAGACGGAATGAACGATGTTGGTGTAGAGCAGATGGATCCAGTTGTGGATTCCCTCCCCAAAACCCATTTTGCAGAGCACATCCCACATGTACGTGTGTGATACCCTGTCAAATGTTTTCTCCTGGTCCAGACTGATGAGGCAGGCTTCCATCCCTCCTGTCTTGCACATAAGCGATCATAACCTTGAGGAATGTAAGGCTCTCATAGATTATCCTGCCTGGTATAGCATATGTTTGGTAGGGGTGAATCACAGATCCCAGAGCAGACCTGACCTGACCTGGTTGGCGATGACCTTAGACAGGATTTTGGAATCTGCATTCAGCAGTAAAATTGATTGCCAATTTCTAATTTCCTCCCTAGTCCCCTTCCACTTGTAAATGAGGATGATGATACCTGTCTTCATGGATTTGGACATGCTACCTGCCAGAAGCATATTGTCGTACACCTCCAGCAAGTTCTGGCCCATCAGGTTCTACAGAGCTGAATATAACTCGGCTGGTAAGCCATCGCTTCTGGGAGTTTTATTCTTTTCTAAGGACTCGAGGGCCTTGGTCAGCTCATCCAGAGGTAGCGGCTGGTCCAGCTTCTCCCGTGTGCTGTCGTCTAAGACTCCCGTGATAGAGGAACATCTGGCAGGCTGCACTGTCTGTGGGCTTTGTGCCATACAGTCTGGAATAAAAGGATTTTCTGCTTCTCAGGATATCAAACTCTGATGACATTACTGAGCCATCTTCTTCCTTCAGGCTGCTGAGCACAGAGCTCTCTCTGTGCACTCCTGGAAGAAGAAACAAGAGCACATATCATCCTGCTTCACGATGCTGACCCTAAACCAGAAGATTATCTTGAAGGCCTCCAAGGGAAAGATCGAGGCTTGCTGGTTTTTCACTTCTTGGAGATCCTCCTTGACATCGACCTCTATCATCTGCAGAGGAGTAGATTCTGCATGTTTTTCTGGTGTTTGGACGGTTTTTCCTTCTCTTTCTTTCTCACCTTCTGAGCACCTTTGAGGATGCTGAATTGCTTGATGTTCCCCTTGACTGCTTCCCACCGATCTGCTGTCCATCAGTAGTTATATGATGGGTGCTGGTCTTGGAAAATCTGTCTTTGTGCTTCATTCATTGTTATGTTATTTCAAGGTAACAATAATACATTCAGCAGTACTGCTGTTTGAGGATATATTTTGCATCAGTGAAGTTTATACATGAATGTTTCAGGCAATATTCTTCTTTGTTTAAAACCAAGAGTCAACATCTGCTTAAAACAATGCGTAGGCAAATGTGATACTAACGTGATGCTCATAGGCAGACTTCCTTCCTTGATCTATCATAAATGCAAAAGGATTTGAAGATTTTAAAAATAATGTATTATACATTTTATTCTCTTTCGCCCAATGTTTTTACATTTTATTCTCTTTCGCACAATGTTTCTCACATTTTTTACCCCTCCACCCTCGCCTACTGGATGCCAAAGTCTGTGTAAGAAGATGGGAAGGGAGTAATATTTGATCATTGGAAATGTATTTAACCAGTTCAAAGTGCCATAATGTCTTTGTTCTTTTGAAAACTCCTCAAGCCCTTTGGTGCCACTGACCAGCAGCATAAAGTTGGATACTTTCTGTTAAGTTATGAAGCTATGACTTGCCATTGCAGTTTTGAGAGAAAATGATCAGCCCTATTGAAGGGGTGCTGTGCTCCCAGAGTTAGCCTCTTTCATAAGAAATGTTAAATGCTGTGTATCCTCTTGGGTGGAAATCAATAATCACAGGACACTCTTACAAAGAAGGGCAGAAGAGCTTTTTCTGGTGTCCTGACCAACATGTATCCTTCATCTGACAACTAAAACATAATATGGGGTTATGGGATCTTGCCATGTACAAACTAACTGCTACTTTTCCTACATTGCAATGCTGATTACTTTTCAAAGAGACTTCACTGACCGAGACTGTTGTGATGCATTTAGGTGGTTTGCATTTTTGGGGAGGGGGTGCATTGTATTTTGGTTAAAATGTTAAGTGCAGTTTCATTTCTCTGGTGACATGGATGTAAAAGATAGTGAGGCATTGATCACAAGTGAATTTTCCCTTTGTTTCTCCCACAGTGTCAGTTATGGCTTGGTTGGCCATACTCTCACATCAAGCACATTGTGGGTCCGCGGCATATGAGCCTGAAAATCAAAACTGAAACTCCAATTCAACCTGAGGGATTCCGACACTGTTAGATTTTTGTTAGTTATTTTTTGAATCTATCTTTGAGCTAAGTTCCCTTTTGCTATTGTAGATGGAGAACAGGTCCCACAGCACTATTTTGAAGAAAAACAGGGTGTAATCCCCATTGTTCCAGCCAGTATTTATCCCTCAATCACCAATGCAATACAGAGATTATGTGGTCATTATTACATTATTGTTTGTGGATGCTTATGTGTAAATTGTCATTTCCTATATAATAACGGTGACTACATTTCAAAAGTATTTGGCTGCAAAACTATTTGTAAAACATTCATGGAAGACACTATTTAAATAAGTGCTCTTTCTTCTTTTTCAGTGAACACTGCCAAAAGCAGATTATTTGATCCACTGGACAGGAAGTCATATATTAAAATAATTTCAGAGTGAATGCAAATGGCTTTGATGTTGCCTTCAATGTGTCGCACATTAAATAATAGAACGCTGTTTACTGACTGTAGTTGCACTGAGTGCAGTGTACATGTCCTTGCCCGCTCTTTAATAACAATTGTGATGATGGCAGAGGTGGGGGAAGCTTACATGTACTTTTTTGCGACTATATTAATATTATACACTGTAATGTTAAATATAATTAGCAAACGTTGAAATATTGAATCTACACTTTAGCTGTAACACAAACTTATGTACGTGGCCTAGGTGAGCAACATGCTAATAACTGTAAGCATAGTAAACTGGAGCTCTTTGCAGTTAATTTGTTAATCAGCCATCCTCACTTTACGATTATTTTCTATGTGATGCCAGTATTAGTTTATAATTGTGTTGTGCATTGTAGCTGCATTATTTTATCATTAATTTATTTGTTCTTGCAAGACAAAGTGAAGAAATAGATTGTTCACCGTTGTTGCATTGTCTCACCTGAAGTACAGTATGTATTCTACAGCCGTATACCCTTGTGAGGATGTGCCCAATCCATTTCCTGTGCCAGATAAGGGAGGAAAGTACACATATCTCACTCAATCCTTGCAGCTGGGAAGCAATATGCAAAAACATAAAACTAAAGTTGACTAACAGAAGTGTGAAGAACAAAAATAAAGAGAAAATGTATTTTTTTTAAACAAATCAAACTGATTCATTCATTTCAATCTTTAATTGATAGACAATGGCAATGACAGATCAAAAAAGCTTTCATATCAACACGCCACTTCATGAGAGTCTCTCGCTCTCTAAGGTGGCAGGGACAAGAGTCTACATCAAACTTGACAATGTGCAGCCAACTGGCTCCTTTAAGATAAGAGGAATTGGGCATTTCTGTATAAAGGTAAGCAGCAGGAAATATTTAAATTCATTTTTGCTTCATATTAATGTTATTTATAATTTATAGTCATATCGGCTACGCAAAAATAAAAACCTGTATGTCATTTTTTCAGGCTGCAGAGAAAGGCTGCAAACATTTTGTATGCTCTTCTGGTAAGTAACAATTAACTGGTGAGTCCTTTACTCTGGTAATTGCACTAAGACCTGTTAGCATGATCAAAATTAATTTGGGTATATTTTGATTTGAGAATTTATTTGGAATAGTTTGTGAGGATGTTGTGATTTGTGGGATACAGACTGAATGCCAATGATGTGTTTAGAGTTTGATAAGATTTTGTGATTCTATAGAAGTCATAGCTTGGATTCAGCCTGAGAGAATGGGAAGCCTAAAATAAAAGCAATTGATCAATTATGCGTGTGATCATGTATAAAATATAACGGTGGCATATATTTAAACTAATACAGTCAAATCAGACTTGCTGAAATCCTTATCTACCCAAGTTTGCACTGTAAATGACGGTGGGAAGGACATTAACTCTGGGTTGAGTCACTTAAATTCAAATTTGCAATGGAATTCGATGGTCAATCTACATTGCTTTACATGTAGTGAAAATCAAATACATTTGGGGCTGGGGAAATCTTGATGGAAAAACGTTGCTGATTGAGTAAACTTGAGATCATCCAAAAATTGTTTGCCTATGTCTTAACGAATTTGGAAGTCACACAACACTAGGTTATAGTCCAACGGGTTTATATTAAATCACAAGCTTTCGGAGCGCTGCTCCTTCGTCAAGTGAAGTGACTTCACCAGACGAAGGGGCTACGCTCCGAAAGCTTGTGAATTTCATATAAACCCGTTGGACTATAACCTGGCATCATGTGACTTCTGACTATGTCCACCCCAGTCCAACACCGGCACCTCCACATCTTGGCTAACTTGACCAAATCCTTTTCGCCCATTACCCCTGTGCTAATTGACCTACATTCATTCCAGGCTAAGTATGTCCTTGATTTTAAAATTCTCTCTTTTTTGTTTCAAATGCTTTCATGATTTTGTTCCTTGCTATCTTATTAATCTCCTGCTGTCCCATGATTCTCCGTCATATATCTCTGTTCCTCTAATTATGGCCTTCTGAGCATCTCTGATTTTAATCACTCTATCAACGATAGCAGTATCTTCAGCTGATTAGGCCTTTCTTAAAACTCTACCTTTCCCTAATTCTCTTCAAGGACTTAACCTGCTGCTTTTTGTCCTAATGTCTTCTTATGGGGCATAAATTTTATTTTAATGCCCCCATGAAGCACTGTGCAATATTATATTTCATAGAAGTTGTATATAGTATAAGTTATTAGCATAATAATGAATTCAACTTTTAACATAGAATCCATTCAGCCATTGTAAATGAGAAGGTGAAAACTACTGTGACTTGGATGGTCCTCGAATCACTAATGCTATATGTATTAACACTGGTGACTTGGTGTTTCTGTGTAACGGATCCTCTCTCTTCAATGCACTTCAGTGGACTAATGAAAACAACAAGATTCTTGAATAAAATTGATCCCATTTATTTGATGAATTGCAAGGGTAAATAAATTTCAAGTTACTGCATTCTGGCTCATTAACCCCAGAATAATGGGGTTACTGTTAAGATTTTACTCCTGGTGACGAACTATGCAAAACTGGCATCAGAACAATGTACCCAGAAAGCAAGATTGTAATGAAGTAAGAAATATTTGTTTGGCTCTACACCTCTGTGACTCTGTCTTTTACAACAACTATAGAAATACAGACTTTTTCCTCATAGTTTATTTGCTAAAAGACCTCTATACTGCATGATATGGAGTCATGCAGATTAGGAGGTAGGTCTTGAATTCAATTGCTACTCAAGTGAATATCGACTGAGGAAAACGTTATAGGTAATCTCATTCCTATTGTCACTTGACATGAACTTTCCAACAGGAATCACTTGATTGTGATTTGCAGTGAAAATCTAGAGCATTTTTTTTCCTCTGCTCCTTAATGCTGACACTAAGACAAATTAAATGCTGTTGGGCTGTTTCCCCTGTTTGAAGAGTCTCAAATTTGGGATTATATTCTCAGGACCAGGGATTGACCATTTGGAATTGAGGTGAAGAATTCTGTTTGTTTGGAGACCTGTGAATCTTTGAAATTCTGTGGCCCATAAGACAATGGATACTCAGTCATTGTATGTTCAAGACGAGTTCATTAGATCTTTGGATATGAAGGAAAACAAGGGATAAGGCAGTCGGGGTGCAGTGTGGTGTTAATATAAAATTAGCAATTACCTTATCGACCAGACAATTTGACTTCAGGGTCCATATCATAAAGTTCTCCTCCTATTTCTTATGTTCAACACTCCATTGTTGCTTAATCATCACTACAAAGATAAATGTGGGTGAAGAAAGTCATCTGCTCAAATTATATATTCGGAAAAGGAGCAGGAGAAGGTAGTATACCCCCCATGACTTTGCTCCATCATTCAATAAAGTCTTAATATCTTCAGATCAACTCCACTTTCGCTACTTACACTCTTATAAACTTAAAGGTAAAAAAATCAATTTTTTATTCCCAACCATGAATATACACCATCAGCAGTCCACGGGAATTGAAAATTCCAAAGATTCACATCCCTTTGAGTGATTCAGTTTCTCTGCATCTTAGCCCTAACTGGTCAGCTTCATAATCTGAGCCTTTTTGTTTTGGACTCTTCAGGCAGGTGAAGCAACCTCTCAACATCCTTTCAGAATTTTGTGTGTTTCAATAAGAACACCTCTCAATCTCCTAAACTCCAAACAATATGGGCCAATAATAGGACAGTACTGCCACTCCAAGAATTAGTCTAATAAATCGTTATTGTACTTCATGCAAGACAAGTACATCCTTTTGGTGGAACGGCAATCAAACCATTACTTCTGGTATAGTCTCGCTCAGGCCCAAAACTGCACCAAGCCTTCCAACCCCCTTGCAGAAAAAGCTGACATTCCATTCGCCTTCCCAATTACTTGCTGAAAAATTTTCTGTCGTTTGTATACAAAACAGTTCAAACTTACTGTGTTGTTCATTGTGGAGTGCAAGTGACAATAAATTATTCATTCCTGAAACTTCTCTGAATGTAATAGTTCCTCATCATTAAAAAATACTGTTCTTATATTCTTCCTGCCAAGGTGAATACCTTCATATTTGCACACATTGTACTCCTTCTGCCAGAGAAATATAGAAAAATAAGAACAGGAGTAGGCCAATCGACCCTTCAGGATACTCCACCACATGTTATGATCATGGCTGATCATCCAACTTAAAGGCTGTGGTCCTAGCACTGATTCCTACAGTACCCCACTCATCACTGCCTGGCACTTGGAAAAAGACCCATATATTCCTAATTTTTGTTTCCTATCTGCTAATCAATGTTCTATCCATCTCAATGTACAATCCTATGTGCCTTAATTTTGCACGTTAATCTTTTATTTAGGACTTTGCTGAAAGCCTTCTGAAAGTCCAAATAAACCACATCTATTGGTTTCCCTTAATCAACTGTACTAGTTACATCCTCAAGGAATTCTAGTAGATTTGTCAAGCCATCTTGTTACCCAATTATTTAGCCAAATCCACATCCTTTGCAGACCTTGTGAGCTTTACAATTCATTTTCCCACAACTCTTACTTTAAGAACACTGCAGGTTCCTCTCTGGCTTTCTTCGGTGCCTATTAATTTGAACTAAGTTCCATTTATTTTATTGCTAATGACTTGGTTTTCAATCTCTCCAGCTAGGTTATCATGTAGAGTTCCCAAACCCAATGTCATCAGTTGTAAATGCCTGAACAAGCACATGATTCATTTTATAATTCAGTATTTCTTTAGATTTGAGTGTTGCTGGCAAGACCACCATTTGTTGCCCTTCTTCATAGAATCATAGAATCCCTATAATGTGGAAGCAGGCCATTCTGCCCATTGAGTCCACACTGGCCCTCCGAAGAGCATCCCACCCTGACTCAGATCCCCACCCTATCCCTGTAACCCTGCACTTTGCCTGGCTAATCCATCTAGCCTTTACATCCCTGGACTATGGGAACCCCAGACAGAGGAAACCCATACAGACACAGAGAGAATGTACAAACTCCACACAGTCAGTCACCCTAGAATTGGAACCAGGATCCCTGGCACTGAGGCAACAGTGCTAACCACTGAGCCACAGTGCTGCTTCCTAATTGTCTTTGAGAAGGTGATGGTGTGAGTAGAAGGTTTTAATCAAGTCCCAGGAATATGGTGTTTGAATTCATCATGGTTTGAAATAATGTAATAATCTTTTTAGCAGGTTAATGAACAAGAAAATGAGAAAGGGTGCAAATTTCATACCTGGTACAAGGAAGTTCACTGATGCTTTTAAAAAATGATGACAATTTTCTTTTCTCTCCTAAAGTCACTGTCTCTTGCTGGCCAATGACATATGTAAATATTTGAAGTGAACTCCAGCTATTTTTCTGAAACTTTGTTCTTGAATGGGACTGTTGCATTTATCATCCATCTTTAGTTTCCTTGACCAGTTTTGAGCCACTGTACACCTGTGGGAATTATGCTGTTGGGTAGGAAATTCCAAACATGATGAAGACACAGTGATAAAAAATTATCCAAGTCAAGATCGTAAGTGACTCAGGCAGAAATGTGAGGGTGATACATTGCTGCTCCTCTCCTTCCTGCTGCAGGAGTTAGTTTTTTGAGTAATTTTAACATCACCACCATCAATCCAGCTAGCTTAGCACACGCAGGTGAAGACAGGGTTCAAACTTGGTCTGTAACGTTTAGTTCCATACTGGGTAAGAATGTTTACTAGTTTAACCAAATTCCTTATTTTGTCAAATATCACACCATGCCCATTAGTTGAGCTTCAACAAATATCATCAATAGTAAAAAGCATTTGAACTCTTCATAAAAAGCCGACATGTGTTAATTTGGTGAAACCCGTCAGTTGTGAGTGTTGTTCTAATAGATGTGGGTGTTTTGACCTTGCAGGAGGGAATGCTGGCCTAGCTGCTGCCTTTGCTGCTCAGAAGCTCCAGATCCCTGCCACCATTCTGGTTCCGAGTAGCACACCAGCATTTACTGTTCAGAAATTGAGAGATCATGGAGCCTTTGTGGAAGTGGTCGGTAAGGTGTGTCCTTGTCAGAATGTTTTATGAGGCTGCATCCATCGTCTGGTTGGGTGAGGGTCTGGGCAGGAGGTAAGGAGTTGGGGAAAAGGTGTTTGACTACCATTTCACGGAAGTGATGGCTGGGTTTGTAAATATTGTACATGTTGGGATGCTGCTATATCAAGCACGGCTCACTTGCTAGCTCTCTGAAATCGAAGGTTATTGGTTAAAGCCTAATACAAGGTCTTGAGCAGAGGAACCAAGGCTGACACTTCAGTATAGTGCTAGACTGTCAGAAATGCCACCTTCTAAGTGAAGTGTTGAAACTAAGGCCTCATGTGCTGTCTCTGGTGAACCTAAAAAATCCATTTCTCTATTTCAAGCAAGTGGAGAGACATTATCCATGCTGCCCTGGCCAATATTTATTCCTCAGCAACATCTCAAGATTATCACATGCCGTTTGTGGGGACATGCCGAGTGCAAATTGCCTGCTGTGTTTCCTGTATTGTAAAAGTAAATACATTACAAAATTAATTCCTTGGCAGTAAACAATTTTGGGGTGTCATGAGGTTGTGAAAGGTGCTATATGATTGTAAGTCCTACTTTATAAATCTTGTATTTTCAAACGAAACAAGTCTTCAAAGCCAGGAGCGTTTAATTTGTTGGATAAGGAAAATGATGTGTGCAGTCTAATACCAAATTTGTGCTAGATTACATTGCATCAAATCAGAAGCAAACTTGGTGAGGAGGAATAGACATCCCGTTTACTGAAGCAATCCATGTTCAAATGCAGAAAGATCCGGACAATATCCAGGCTTGGGCTAACAAGTGGCAGCAATCACTTGTATTTTTATAAATATCACCAAAATACGCAATATTTAATGACGCAACTAATATTTGGACCATACAAGGGGTAGATAATGACAAACTCAACAAGAGAGAAACTAAAACAAACTCGCCTTCACATTCAATGGCAATGCCATCACCAAATCCTCACGATCAACATCCTGGAGGTCAGGACAAATCTGAAACAAAGCAGCCTGCCCACGCACCACCTTCAACTCAAGCCTCCTTTACCAGCAATGTAACAGTGTGTGCCATCTACAATATGCACTGCAACACCTCACCAGGACTCCATTTTAAGCAGCATATTCCAAAATCATATACTTAAATAATCTAGAAGGACAAGGGCATTCAAACCTGCAAACTAAAAGCTGGAGTCGGCTGTCCAGCCCCTCAAGCTAACCCTGCTATTCAACAAGATCATGGCTGATCTGATTGTAACTTCAAACCCACAATCCCACCTACCCCTGATAACATTTCATCCCCTTGCTTAACAAGAATCTATCCACCTCTGCCCTTAGCACATTCATCACCTTTTCAGGAAGAGAGTTCCAAAGACTCATTACCCTCTGAGAGATTAAAAACATGGCCCCACTTCTGTTGTAAGTGGCTGACCCCTGACTTGTAGCAGTGACTCCTAGTTCTACGTCTCCTATTAGAGGAAACATCCTTTTCACATTCATCCAGTCAAGACCCCTTGAGATCTTTGATTTGTCAATCAAGTTGCTTCTTGCTCTTCTAAACTACAACGGACTCAAGCCTTGTCTGTTCAGCCTTTCTTCATAAGACAACCAAGTCAGTTCAGGTATTAGTCTAGTAAAACTTTTCTGAACTGCTTCCATTGCATTGACGTTTTTCATTAAATAAGATGATCAGTACTGTGGACAGTAATCCAGATGTGGCCTCACAATACCTGAAACATAACCTTCCTACTTTTATGTTCAATTCCCCGCACAATTAATGACAACATTCTATCAGCTTTCCTGATTACTTGCCATTTCTGTAAACTATCCTCTTGTGACTCAAGCACAAGGACACTGAGGGCACCAGATGTGGGAACATCACCACCTGCAAGTTCCCCTTTCAGCCACTCACCATCCTGACTTGGAATTATATCACTGTTCCTTCACTGTCACGGGGTCAAAATCCTGGAACTTCCATCTTAACAGGATTTTGAGTATCCCTACATCAGATGGACTGTATTCGCTTTAGAAGTACCACCTTTTTCTCATGGGAAACTAGGAATGGGCAATAAATGTTGGGCCAGCCAGGTATGCCCATACCCCATGAAAGATAAAAAGAAAACTTGTATACTAAATGCATTATTTTTGCTAAAGAGCCAATTCCATTTGATGAGGGATCTTGGGGTCCACGCCCATAGATCCCTCAAAGTTGCTACCCAAGTTGATAGGGTTGTAAAGAAGGCATATGGTGTGATGGCTTTCATTGGCAGGGGAATTGAGTTTAACAGCCATGAGGTTATGCTGCAACTCTATAAAACCCTGGTTAGACCACACTTGGAATATTGTGTTCAGTTCTGGTCACCTCTTTATAGGAAAGATGTGGAAGCTTCAGAGAGGGTGCAGAGGAGATTTGCCAGGATGCTGCCTGGACTGGAGGGCAGGTTTTATGAGGAAAGGTTGAGGGAGCTAGGGCTTTTCTCATTGGAGCGAAGACGGATGAGAGGTGACTTGATAGAGGTGTACAAGATGATGAGACGCAGAGTTAGAGTGGATAGTCAGACACTTTTTCCTAGGGCAGAAATGACTATTACAAGGGGGCATAATTTTAAGATGATAAGAGGAAGGTATAGGGGAGATGTCAGAGGTAGGCTCTTTACACAGAGAGTGGTGGGCGTGTGGAATGCGCTGCCGGCAGTAGTAGTGGAGTCAGATACTTTAGATGCTTTTAAGTAACTCCTTGATAGGCAAATGGAGGATAGTAAAATGTAGGGTATGCAGGGTAGTTTGATCTTAGTAGGATAACAGGTTGGCACAACATTGTGCCCAAAGGGCCTGTACTGTGCTGTACTGTTCTATGTTCTATGAATGTCAAATTTCTCCATGATTATATAAAAAAATCAATAAATGTTAACTTTTTAAAAAGTTTTTTTTATCACATTTCATTGTTCATCTTAATCCCATCTGTTTGGCACAAAATGTACTCTGTTATCATTAATGATGGCCTGCATTTAAGTTAAGAGAGGGAAAGTTCAAAGGAGATGTGAACTGTAAGTTTTTTTACACAGAGAGTGGTAGGTGTCTGGAACATTGTGCCAGGGCTAGTGATGAAGGCAGACACGATAGGGGTGTTTAAGGGGCTTTTAAATAAGCACACGAATAAGCAAGGAATGTAGGGATGTGGACCATGAGCAGGCAGAAAGGATTAGTTTAATTAGGCATCATGTTCAGCACAACATTATGGGCTGAAGGGCCTGTTCTTGCGCTGTATTGTTCAATGTTTTTCCTCTTGGTTTATGTCAGAAATATTTGGCTGAGTAAACATACATTGTACATTCGTCAAAATAGCTCCAAGTGTGGCCCTGTGCCATTTGTTTTCATAGCAAGAAGAGCATTTCAGAATATCTGAATGCAAAAGAAAACTTATTGAAAGCTGAATGAAATGAATATGTAATTTGCTAATTCTCTGCAGACCTTGGAACAAACAGTGTTGTTTTCCTTGTCCCGTACGTTGCTCTCGGTAGTTTAGCTAAACAGCTGTGCCAGCAGTCTGAGGCATTTCAAAAGCACTCTAAAGTTAGTGGCTTGAAACAGCTAGCTCAGATTCAATGAGTCTGCTGTTAAATCTGCTGAGACCTGCTGTTAAGCACAATTCCAATTCAGATGGTGCTCAGCATTGGTTCACAGGAACCCAGCCCACTGTATTCATTGGGTTTCTCTGTCTTTGCCTATCCATTTGGTTAGCTTTGAATTTTCTGGCTCATTGAACTGAATGAACCTTATGTGTCAGTTAGAGTTTTGCCTGATTGAGGCAGATATTAACCATATACAGTCTATTCACAAGATGATACGCCCGAGAAATGTTACGCGAATGAGCATTACTACAGTGGAATAAAAACAAGTGTAAAAGTGACATTTTGGTAAAAATGGATGTGGAGCAAGTGTTGATGAGGAGAAAGAGGCTTGCTAAAATGAAAATGAGAATATATTGACTGTCACTCTTTCACGTACTTCAGTTTTAATTTTAGTTAGGCCTGCAAGGGCTGAATACTTGAGTCGTCTCTGTCCATCTGTTTGTCATTGTGTTTGAAATGGGTTCGAATAACTTGCCTATTTAGTGAAGAATTGGCTTAGAGCTTGCATCAGTGGGGAATGTAAAATCTCTGTCTGTCTCGATTTTGGCTGTTCTCAGTCACTGTTACCACCGTAGCTGTAAGAGTTGTGAGTAGAGGCTCTTGAGACATCCCTATACTATCTGGGTTAATAAACAGACCTATAGACCACCAAAGAAGGCCAAATTGAGATAGAAGGAGTAAGAATAAAGGGAAGATGGGAGCTCACCTATAACTAACCTGTTTAATCCAGATTTAGATTTCTGGACAATTTCCCACCAAATTTGAAACACTAATATAGATAATGCAAGCACACCGAAACTGCTCTATGCATTATAAATGCCATCGAGAATACTGTGACATCTAAACAAATGGACACATAAGAAAACACTTGAGTTGCACATAATAATGTGTTTTATGTCTCTTTGTGGGGCAAGGTACAAGAAATACACCAAGCGCACATCACAAAATCTTGGTCCAGCTGCTGATGGGTTTCCTAGTGCATGCTTGCTACCTGCGAAGCTCAGCAAATTCATCCTAAAGGATCAGCTCTAGTTTTATAGAGTCCAACACTTTCAGGGAAGTGTCATCACATCTATGTTTAGGCATCCAAAATAACACAGGTGGTAGCGGTCAATCAGATTAACTTTGAAGTACATCTTTGTTCTTGGTACCAGATATTTTTGCAAGTCACAACTTTGACTTTCAGTCCTGGCTGCCAGACTGACTTTGATGGATTCAGAGGATCTATGGAATATTGAAATTCTGTCTGTGGCCTGATGGTTACCTTGCTGCCAATGCTTTGTTGCTTTTCCAATTAACAAGCTTATCCACAGGCTGCCCTTTCAACCTTGCTCCTCCTTCACCCTGGTACTCTGTACCACTA